ATAGACACCCCATTCCTACTGATTTGATTCTATATTGTAGATGTAGATGAATGCATGGGATCTCATGGATGTCATTCTGACGCAACCTGCGTCAATTCACCTGGTTCCTTTAGATGTCAGTGTAAACCTGGCTTCACGGGAAATGGAAAGGATTGCAGAGGTACGTACGTGAAAGCATGATTGTAAAACTAGGAAAGCTGCATGTGTACCAAATAAAGTAAATTTTAAGTAATTATTAGATTAAGGTGGGAATGGGCGTCACTATTATTTCCGACCTTGCATGATTTCAGTACAGTGTTGTTTCCATACGTGACGTCACATAGCAACCGATGGATTGCTTCGGGATTCTTGTTCTTTGTAATATTAGTAAAACGCCATAGCAGTTTGGAAAATGGACCAAAAGAAAGGCTACAGATTGAAATGCTTTTATGCTAAATCCTCCTCCTATGTCGTATTTTAAAAATATTATTGTAGTATGTAGCTTTTTTATGGCTATCCATTTTTTGATACGCGAAGTTCCTTCTTCTGTCGAGGACAATCAAGAAAGTACTTTGGCAGAATCTTAGGAATATCCAGCTAAGCGGTGAACGCGGCGCGCAAAGCATGATTGGACAAAATGACAGGCCCTAAGCTTGAACGATGCAAGCATGGCGGTAAATTGACATTGTTTTGATTCTTCCTTTCCATATTTCTTGTAGGCATGTATATTATATTTCAGTCAAACGAAAACAGAAAAATACGCAAAAGTCGGGTTACAGTAGCTTGGGATAATTAGGATATTTTGACCTTTTTATCCGTCATCTATCCGTCTTTAAACTCGGTACCACTTTGTAAATCAGAGAGCTGGAACGTGTCAAGAATGGAAACAACACTGTTTCAGCCATTTGCCTATAGACGCCCCATTCCTACTGATTTGATTCTATATTGTAGATGTGGATGAATGCATGGGATCTCATGGATGTCATTCTGATGCAATCTGCATCAATTCACATGGGTCCTTTAGATGTCAGTGTAAACCTGGCTTCATGGGAAATGGAAAGGATTGCAGAGGTACGTACGTGAAATCATGATTGTAAGACTAGGAAAGCTGCATTACCAAATAAAGTAAATCTAAAGTAAATATTTGATTTTAGGTACGTACGTGAAAATATGATTGTAAACTGTGCATTTTATGTGTTACCTTTATAACAAATATGTGAAATAAGATAACTTTTTTTACTAGTAAGAGACTAGACTGTTCAGATCTCTACAAGAATGGCGAAAGACGTAACGGAGTGTACACCATCAAACCAGACAGTCAAGGAACCTTACAAGTCTACTGTGACATGACAACTGACGGAGGGGGGTGGACAGTGTTMCAGAGAAGACAAGATGRATCAGTAGACTTTTATCTTGACTGGCAGCCGTACAAAACAGGTTTTGGGAACCTGAATGGCGAGTTTTGGCTGGGCAATGACTACATCCATCGACTGACTGCAAGAACTCCTTCGACATTGCGCGTGGAGCTGGAGGACTGGGTAGGAACAAGGAAGTATGCCAAATATGGTAGTTTTAGTGTTAATGCTGAGTCAGACAAGTACAGTTTGAGTGTAGGTTCGTATTCAGGTAGTGCTGTGGACTCACTGTCGTATCATAACAACATGGCATTCAGTACAAAAGACAGGGATAATGATGTTCATAGTGGGAATTGTGCCACTACTTACACTGGTGCCTGGTGGTACCATGATTGCTATCATTCAAATCTAAACGGTCGGTATCTCGGGAATGTAATTGATAATAAGGGAGTCAGGTGGTATAGTTTGTCACTGAAGTTCACTGAGATGAAGATACGGCCACAAGCATTCTAAGCTGAGATGAATCAGAAGAAGGACGAGTCCAATAAAGATGACGCATACGTTCTGCACACTATCAAGCCTACACACTAAAAAAAGACAATAAATAGGATTTAAGGAGTGGCATATCCACAGAGTCGGCACTTTAATGAGAACAATTGGAATTTGTAGAAGTTGAATTTAGATTTCAAACAGGTTTCAACCCAACAATTTTATTATGAGCTCAATAGCAGATTTAATCAAAAATAGCAGCTTTTTCGAAAGCAGTTAGCATAAGCTAGATTATGGGTGACATTGAAATGGCACGTAATAAAGCAGGGTCACGGTGTAGGAATGACGATACCCTCTGAACCAA